ATGATGCTGCTTGGCCTGCTGTGTTCATCCAGCCCTGCACCTTATTGTCTCGGATTCTCCAGCATCTGCAGTTCCTACTATCTCTTAGACTAGTCCTACCTGCCTGCTCCTGGGGCATATCCCTCCAAACCTTTTCGGTTCATGTACTGTTCTAAATGTCTTTTAGACGTTGCAAATGTGCCCACATCCAGCATTTTCTCTGGCAGTTCATTCCACGCGCAAACCGCACTGTATAAAATATTTGTCCCTCGTGTCTTTTTTAAAATCTCTCTCCTCTCCCTTTAAAAATATGCCCCCTAGTTTTGAACTCCCCCACCCTAGGGAAAAGACATCTGCCATTTACCTTATGTATACCACTCATGATTTTATAAACCTGTATCAGGACACCTCAACCTCCTATGCTCCAGTGAAAAAGTCCCAGCCTATCCAACCTCTCTTTATAACTCAAACCTTCCATACCCGCCAACATCCTGGTAAGTCTCTTGAGAGCCTGGTCCAGCTTAATAATATCCTTCCTACAACCAGAACTGCACACAATATTCCAGAAGAGGCCTCACCAATGTCCTGTACAACCTCAACATGACGTCTCAACTCCTATACTCAAAGAAAGCGTGCTAAACACCCTGACAGAAACAATTTCTTCACATAAAACAAATCTTTCAAAATTTCACAGCAAAACCTGGGTAATGAGCAGATAAATGCATTAGAGTCAATGCACCAAATGTTTCAATCTTACAAAGCTCTGTGGCCGTATTAACGCAGTGTTGCCAAGTTTGAGGATGACAAAAATGGGTGGGAAGGCATATGGTAAAAATGACGCAAGGAGTCTGCAGAGTTGAGAGGGCACAATCTTTGCAGATGGAATAGATTATGGGAAAACGTGAGGTTGTGGACTTTGGCAGGAAGAATAGGAAAGCTGAATATTATTTAAATTGGGAAAGACTGCAGAAAGCTGCCGTACAGAGGGAAGTTAGGGGTCACAGTGCACGGGGAAAAATAAGCACCCAAATTCAGCAGATAATAGAAAAGCAAATAGAATGTTGGCCTTTATTTCAAAGGGAACAAATGTCTTGCTAAAACTGTACAAGGTACCCATCAGACCACAGCTGGAATACTGTGAACAGTGTTAGTCTCCTCATCAAAGGAGAGTTACACTGGCATTGGAAGTAGCTCAGAGAAGGCTCACTAGGCTGATCCCAGGTTTGAAGAACTTTTCTTACGAGGAAAGATTGAGTAAGTTGGGCTTGTACTCAGAGTTTAGGAGAATGAGTGATGCCCATACTGAAACAGACAAGATTCTCAGGGGACTTGATAGGGCAGATGGTGGAAGGTTGTTTCGCCTTGTGAGTCTGGAACTAGAGGACTAATCTCAGAGTAAGGAGTTGCCTACCTGAGACAGAAATGGAGAATTTTTTTTGAGGAATGTGAATCGGTGGAACTCTTTAAGGCAGAGGGCTTTTGGCACTGTGTAATTAAGACCGTTCAGTGCTGAGACAGATAGATTTCCTAATGGTCCATAAAAACCGAAAGAACTATGGATGCTGTAAGTCAAGAACAAAAAACAGAATTTGCTGGAAAAGCTCAGCGGGTCTGGCAACATCTGTAAAGAAAAAACAGAGTTAACGTTTCGGGTCCGGTGGCCCTTCCTCAGAACTGATGGTGGCTGGGAAAACCTCAGTTTATGTGCAGAAAATAGGGAGGGGGTTGGGGTAGGGAGTAAACGATAAGATAGAGCCTAGAGAGAGAGAAGAGCAGTTGCACAGACAAAGGAGTTGATAATGATGATCAGGCTAGGAGGGTGAGTAGTTGTTGTTGGGGACTGTTAGTGACTAACACCAGGGGGTGTGTAATGGCAGGCTGTGTGGTAACAAGGCCTGGTGTGTGGGGTAGGGGGCTGGGACATGGGAGAGTTTAGGCCCTAAAATTATTGAGTTCAATAGAGTCCCGAGGGCTGCGGGGTCCCCAAGCAAAAAATGAGGTGTTGTTCTTCCAACTTGCGCTGAGCTTCACTGGAACACTGCAGCAGGCCTGGGACAGAAATGTTGGCCAGGGAACAGGGTGGTGTGTTGAAGTGGCAGGCAACAGGTAGCTCAGGGTCTTTTTTGTGGGCAGAACATAGATATTGTGTGAAGCGGTCACCCAGTCTACGCTTCGTTTCCCCAATGTAGAGGAGACCACATTGTGAGCAGTGAACGCAGTAGACTAGATTCTGGGAAGTGCAGGTGAAGTGTTGCTTCACCTGGAAGGTACATTTGGGCCCTTGGATACTGGGGAGCGAGGAGGTAAATGGGCAGGTGTTGCACCTTCGCCAGTTCCAGGGGAAGGTGCTGTGGGGCTGTGTGGAGGGGTATTGGGGGAGAATGAAGTGTGGACTAGGGTGTCCCAGAGGGAACGGTCCCTGTGGAAGGCGGACAAGGGAGGGGAGGGGAACATGTGTCTGGTGGTGGCTTCTTGCTGGAAGTGGCGGAAATGGCACTTGATGATCTTCTGGATGTGGATGGGATGGTAGGTAAGGACAAGGGGGAACCCTATCGTTGTTGTGGGAGGAAAGAGAGGGGGTGAGGATAGAAGTGCGGGAGATGGATCAGACCCAGTTGAGGGTCCTGTCAACAATGGAACTGGGGAATCCTCAGTTGAGGAAGAAGTCAGACATTTCGGAGGCTCCCTTGTCAAAGTTGGCGTCATCTGAACACATGCGACAGAGACAGAGGAACTGGGAGAATGGGATTGAATCTTTACTGGAAGCAGGGTGGGAGGATGTCTAGTCCAGGTAGCTGTTGGTTTATAGTGGATAGAAGCCAGTCGAGGAAGGGAAGGGATGAGTCAGAGATAAACTAGGTGAAAGTGAAGGCAGGATAGAAATTGGAAGCGAAAATTGATGAACTGTTCCAATTCTGAACGAGAGAGGGAGGTAGCACTGATGACATCATCAATATATTGGAGAAAGAGTTGTGGGTGGGGGCCAGAATAGGACTGGAGCAAGGAATGCTCCATGTACCCCATGAAGAGACAGGCATAACTGGGGCCCATGCAGGTACCCACGGGCACCTCTCTTACCTGAAGAAAGTGAGAGGAGTTGAAAGAGAAGTTGTTGAAGGTGTGGACAAGCACGGCCAAGCGGAGGACAGTGGTGGTGGGTGGGGATGGTTCAGGTCTTTAGTCCAGGAAGAAGCAGAGAGTCCTAAGACCCACCTAGTGGGGAACGGACATGTAAAGGGATCGCATGCCCATGGTAAAGAGGCGGTGGCTGGAAACTGCAAACTGCAAACTGGAAGTCTTGGAACTGGCATAGGGTGTCAGAGGAATCGTGGATGTTTGTGGGCAGGGATTGGACCGGGGAGAGAAGTTTTGAATCCTCCCAGGATCACAGATAACTCCATGATGTTCAGTGTTCCATGGACAGCTGCTCTCGCCACATCCTGAGATCCACACTCAGTGTCATGTGGTGTCACATAGACACGCTCCACCTTTCTCTCCAACAGCATCGCTACACACTGGCTCAGGGCTGCATCAGTCTGGAATTCCACTTCATCCTCCGCTCATTCATCATGCTAACAAGAAACTTTTTCTTTTCCTTTCAGGCATCAAGGCCCACAAGATGCAACAACTCAAAGACACCCATGGCCCTTGGGAACCTTCCTCTCCTCCCCTTCCCTCTGACTCCATCCCCTCACCCAACCCCACCTCCTGTCAGGTACTCACCATCCCTCCTAACCGCCCGCTCTCCGATGCTGAATGTTCTGTACTCAGCAAAGGCCTCAGCTTTATTCCTCTGTGTCCCCACCTTAACAAATTTCAGGCATGCCATGATGTCGAACTCTTCTGCTGTCTTTGCCTCTGTGCCCATTTCTTTGGACAAGAGTCCTCTCCCTGGCCCACCGACCCTTTTGCCCAGTTCCAACACTCCCTATGCCTTTTAACTGCACTTGATCTGTTCATTGAGAACTGTCAATGTGATATTATTTGCCTCAATTTCTCTGCCCACCCCCTCCACCCAATCCAACTTATCTCCCTCCGAACTGACCACACTCCACGTGCTTTGATCTAACCCTGATTTTGTTATTAAACCTGCCGATAAGAGTGGTGCTGTTGTAGTCTGGAGTACTGACCTCTACATTGCAGAGGCTGAGCGCCAGCTCTCAGACACCTCCTCCTATCTTCCCCTGGACCATAATCCCACCATGATGCATCAGGCCATTGTATCTACAGCAGTATCTGATCTCATTTCATCCAGCGATCTTCCCCCACTGCCTCCAAAATTATAGTACCCCAGCCCCACACAGCTCGCTTCTACCTTCTTCCACACATACACAGGACTGTCCAGGCAGATCCATTGTTTCAGCCTGCTCCTGCCCCACAGAAAACATCTCTTCCTACCATGACTCAGTCTTCCTCCCTTCCCTTCCCTTCCCTTCCTTGACATCTGTTTCCATTTCTGGGGTTAGACTGACCACTTATATACACTATAAACCCACTGACTCCCACAGCTACCTGGACATCCTCCCACCCTGGTTCCTGTAAAGACTCCCATCCCATTCTCCCAGTTCCTCGGTCTCCATTGCATATGTTCAGATGACGCCAACTTCGACAATGGAGCCTCTGAAACACCCACCTTCTTCCTCAATCGAGGATTCCCCAGCTCCGTTGTCAACAGGGCCCTCAACCAGGTCCGACCCATCTCCCGCACTTCCGCCCTCACCCCTTCTCTTCCCTCCCGCAATGATAGGGTCCCCCTTATCTTCACCTACCATCTCACCAGCATCCACATTCAGAAGATCATCAGATGCCATTTCCACCATCTCCAGTGAGATGCCACCACTGGACATATATTCCCTTCCCCTCCCCTCCCTGGTCTGCCTTCTGTAGGGACCGTTTCCTCCGGGACACCCTGGTCCATACTCCCTTCACCCCCAACACCTCCCCATACCTCACAGCCCTATGGCATGTTCCCCTGTAATTGCCGTAGGTGTACCACCTGTCGATTTACTTCCTCCCACCTCAGTATCCAAGAGCCCAAATATACCTTCCAGGTGAAGCTGCACTTCCCATAATCTAGTCTACTGCATTCGCTGCTCACAATGTGGTCTCCTCTACATTGGAGAAACGAAGTGTAGACTGGGTGACCGCTTCGCAGAATATCTTTGTCCTGCTCGCAAAAAAGACCCTGAGCTTCCAGTTGCCTGTCACTTCAACA